AGTAAGAGAGGTTAACTAAAAAACAGCAAAAGGATAAAGGCACAGTCCACCTAAAGCTTAGACCTTTTCTGAAATTCAGATACAGTACTCTGTACAGGTAGGAGGTGTGTGCATGTATCAGTTCTTAGTTTTTTATTTGTTTTCTTCTTGCACCCTTTCTAATATTCTAATATTTGTTTGAATTTGTAAAATGTAGAGGAATGAGTATATGAATAAGGGTGCAAAGAGCAGGGGGTGATTTGTCACAACATACACAGTCATTTTGTTTATATATTTGCAAGCAATGTATTTATAAGCTTTCTCTCCCATTCACGATTTCAGATTCATAACTTTATTGGAATTATACTGCTTCATCTCCTTTGAGATTTCTGCTGGTTAAAGGCCAAAAATTGGACTCGGTCACTCTGAAGTTTAGTTACAGTCAGTCTTTTGCTATTCACCACCTTGAATATAGTGGCTGTGATGAATATGTATGTATGTGGCTAGAGACCGGCCACATATCTATTACTCCAAAGATGGGGAAGAAGAGAAAGTGTTTATGTGCACTGGAGGCAAATTTGAATTCGTGCCTGCACCTTCACTCTCAAGACATGAAAGATCACACCTGTAATTTCTCACCTGAGAAAGGTCCCCTTCACCCAAGAAGTGAAAACATTAACAAAAGTGACAACGTGATATCGCTGCAATTACTTGTCAGTAGAACAAGAATAAGTCTGAACAACAGCTAACAGCAGCTAACATTATGCTGTCCCTCTGATAAACAGTTTGATTACATTCTCACATGAGAGTTTATTCACTAAATGTCATACCAGCAATGCTAGATCTACTTCAAAGACAGTTTAACACCATCTAATAGCAGCGAACAGAGGCTAACACCTGCTAACAGATGCCAACAGCAGCTAACAAGTGGTAACAGCAGCACTTACTGACAGAAAAGTTCAAGATATCCTCAACAGCTAACCTCAGCATCACTTTCCTTTCACAAAGTGTTACAGCCTCCTCCAGCAAATCTACAGTAAATAGATGTGGACACCCGGAATATTGACAGCTGATGTAAACAGCTGACTTACAGCCGAGCATCACTACAGATTAATGGTGGACAGAGTTATTTGTGAGTAATGTGAGAAAATTACAGTGAGAATTAGGAATGGTAAGAACAGACTTCAGTTGACTGCAATCTACTGACATCTAATGGTAAGATTTTAGACACTGTAACTTTAACTATATTGTACTTTAACACTTGATTTTGAAGTGCAACTTATATGCTAAGAATTGTTGTCTTGCCCATGGCACATGTCCTAAACATTTCCTTCAGCATTTTCTAGTATAACTCAGATTTCATCTTCTTCTTTGGCTCTCGGAGGAGGCGGACGCACTTTTTCTCCTCTCCCTTATCTTCCCTGCTTATGTCCTTGTCTAGTCTC